CGCGCCCAGGCGCCCGCGGTCGGCCTCGAAGCCCTGCGACTGCACGGCTGGAGCGCCGGGCTGTGTGCCCGTTTCTCTGGGGGCGTCCGTCTCCCGGAAAGCCGCGTCGTCCGCCAGCGCCAGGCTCCGCCGAGCCTGGGGAGCAGAAGCACCGGCCCAGGCGCGCCCCGGGGCGCGGAGGCTGCGGGGAGGGGGAGAGACGCGGTGAGCGCGCGCCCAGGCGCCCGCGGTCGGCCTCGAAGCCCTGCGACTGCACGGCTGGAGCGCCGGGCTGTGTGCCCGTTTCTCTGGGGGCGTCCGTCTCCCTTCACCAGGGGGAGCTCCCGGAGCGCCGCGACCCAGCGAGGCACCAGCCCGCTCGGCCCGGCGCACACCGAGCGTCGCCGAGGAACGGCCGGGCTCCGCCTGCCTCCTTCCGAGTCTCTCCACGCCTTTCTTGGGACCTTTTTGTGCCTTTTGCTGCTTCTCCACCCACCCCAGCCCCCGGCTCCTCTCTCTGGGTCGCTGTGTCCCGCCCCCCCTCGCCCCCCGGTCTTTTCCCACTGGGAGCCTCGGGCGTCGCACTTACCTGAAGACCCCCGCGGGGGGCAGGGCGACGCCCGAGGCAGTGCGGGTGCCCCAGGGCACGAGCAGCAGGAGCAGCAGCAACAGCCGCCCCCGAAGGCTCCTGGGCACCTGGCGGGTCTCCATCACCTGTGGACAGACAGGGAAGGGCCCAGTGAGATCCGCGTCCCGCCCCAGGCCCCGACCCCACCATCCAGCCACCTGGTGAAACCCACTTGCAGGGTCCCCTACTGCGCAGTGGGCTTGGCGGGTGAGGCTGGCAGCCCCCTTATATTGCTGCCCCAGCCCCCGCAGCGGCCAGTGACGCAAACCAGGGGCCGGGGGGCGCGGGGTCAGCCCCCCCCAGGCTCATTAGGAGCTGCCAGCGGTAATGAGGAGACGGGGGTGGGGGCCCTGCCACTGTTAGCGGCCACCAAACTAATTGGGACCAGGAGCTGGGACCTGAGAGGGAGGGGGGGACAGACAGACAGAGAAGTGGACACGGGGTGTGTCAGAGGGATAAAAATAGAGACGGGGATGGACCTTCAGAGCAGAAGCCAGTGAGACACAGCAAACGGGAGAGAGCAATTGAGGAAGGACTGATGGGGAGAAACGGAGACACAAAGAGACGAGGAAGTCACCGCGGAAGGGGACAAAGACGGTGACAGAAGGAAAGAAGAAGAAAGGAAGCAACTGAGGAAGGGAGACAGGGGTGGAAAAGGAGAGAGAAGGGGGGGAGAGGGGTGCGACAGAGGGAGAAAGACAGGTGCAGATGGAAGGACAGCCAGCCAGGGCAGACATCCCAGAGGTCAATATGTGCCCGGCGAGAATCAAGAAGACAGAGTGGGGTGCAGGAGAGAGCACAGGGCCCAGCTGGTGCAGGTGGGGGGCAGGGAAAGGGACAGGCAGTCAGGAAAGTGGAGAACCCAAGAGGAGGGGACTGAGCAGGCAAAGACCCTGTGTCCAAATCCTTCCTGGGGAGGAGTCTGGAGAGGTGTCAAGTAAAGGCCCGATCCCCCCCTCAACCCGACCCCATCCACACGCTGGCCCCCCCCCAAGAGCGCGCCCTCTGGCGGTAGGCAGAGGCCGGAAGCGCCAAGGGGCAGGGCTGGCTGGCTGCAATTGGCGCGACCTGGGAACCCAACTCTGAATTCCCCAGAGAGGAGGGGAACAGGGTCTGGGGTTCTGGGTCCAGGAAATGAAGGGAGCCTCCTTGGAAAGAGGTGCTGGGGTCCTGAGTTCCTGAGGATCTAGCAGCTCCCCTACATACACGCTCGAGTCTTGAATTGGGAGAGTATCAGGGATGTGGGTTCTCGGTCCCGAGGAGCTTCAAGGGGAGCTGGTGTGGCTGGACCACACGGCTCCACCAGGCCATCCTGTCCCCAATCCTTTCTCCACACCCGACAGTTTCCTCTGCCCCTGTATCTTTAAGAGTCCAAGCCTGTCGCTAGGCTCCCAGGGCCCCTGGGGAGGGGGTCAGGTGCATCACCCTCGCCATGGGGACGCTGCCTCCTGCTGCCCCACCCAGAGTCTTTCTGCCGCAGCCACCCAGCTCTGCGCCCAGCTCTTCTCACCTGCTGTTCCTGGGACCCCACGGAGAAGGTAAGACACCCTGGGACCCCAAGTGACCTTGTCCCATCCAGCAGTCTGCTCCTCCCACGCCACCTGTCCACAGACTTAAGCTTCTCTGCCCCAAGTGAGCCCCCAAGACCCTGAGATCTCGGTTCACCTTCAGTGAACAGACCTGAGTCCTGCCCCACAGCTCCCTCAAGGGCAGGACACTTCCACCCCTATCTCTGGAGGAGCCAAGACTGGGAGCTCCCAATCCCCTCAGAACCCAGAAGTTCTGGACCCCATCTCCTTTTCCCCTGAAATCCAGCCCCTCATTTTGCTCAAACTTCTAGGGATCTGATCTGGGCCTCAGCTCCCTAAATAACCAGGAGAATAAACCCAGGGAGCCCTCTACCTCAGGGACATGGGCAACCTTCCTGCCCAGGAGGCAGGAGCCTTCCTCCCCCTCAGATCTGCTGCGCCTCAGCCCCTCCTCCCCCGGCCCTGGCATCCAGACCCCCAGCCTTCTCCCTCAGCCTTCTCCCTCAGGCCCTGGAGGCTGGCCCCAGCCTGAAGTCTTCCTTCTGAGCCTCCTCCTTCTGGGAGGTGCAGTAAACAACTGCTGTCAAAGTGCCCCAAGGGTCCTCACAGAGGAAGGCTTTCCCACGGAGGACTGCACCCTCGGAAGCCCTCAAAGACTAGGTTTAAGGGCCTGAAGAGGTGTCATTCTTTGCCAGTTTTTCTGGGACCCCCCTGGGAGAAACAGATAAGGATGTTAACTACCACTCTCAAGAAGCCCCACACCTCAATCTCCCTTAGCTACACAGCAACAGCCCCACATCCTTCTGGGAGGCGCAGGAGGCAACTTTCCAGGGTGCCTAGCAGAGCTGGGGACCAGGTCTACCTGGGGATCAGTGTGGGGTGGGGCGCCTCCTGGAGCCGCAGGGGCTCCTCAGAGCTGCAGGCTTTAACCTCTCCTTCCTGCTCCCCTCTCCCTCCTCAGCTTCGGGTGTCTCTCATCTCTCAGAGCCATGAAATCCTTCAGCTCCATTCTCCTCCTCCTGGTCTGCCTCCTGGCCCCGCTGAGCTCCAGAGCTGCCCCTTCAGCCTCACCTTCTGCGGGCTTCCCCGAGATGGGCTATCCCCCTGAAACCTCCCCTCACCCTTCTGAAAATTCCACTCGTGACCTTCCTGACCCGGAACGCCCTGTGACTGCTTCTCCAGAGCCCTCCAAGACACCTCATGTGGTTTCCCCTGAGCCCTCCCCCATTGACTTCTCTGAGACCCCCAAACCTGACCTCCCAGAAATCCCACATCCAGAGTCTCCTAAGAACCCCCAACCTAACTCACTTAACACCTCAATATCAGAATCCCTGGAGAAACCTCAAATTAACCCCTCCAGATTGACACACCCAGAACCTTCCAAGACCCCCCAACCTGATCCAACTGAAATTTCATCTACTGCACCCCCTGAGACCCCCAAACTTAACTTAACATTTCTTGAAAACCTGAGCCCTAACCTTACCCAGATTCTACACCATGAGTCCCCAGAGATTCCCAAACCTAACTCCACTGAAATTTCATATGCAGAAGCTCCTGAAACCCCAAACCCTAATCCCACTGACATATTTCACCCCGAATTTGCAGAAACCCACAATCTGGAAGCCACTGACACCCGAAACTCTGAATTCCCCCAGAGCCTCCATTCTGACCCTACTGAAACCTCTGGCCCAGAGGCCCATGTAACTCACAACCCTACAGAAGTCCCCCAAACAGAGCTCCCCACAACCCATTCCCCAGAGGCAACAGAGACACTCATGGCCTTTGACCTTGAGATCTCGGCTAGTCTTCACCCAGAGACACCTGCACCCTTCAAGGAAGAAGCTACTGCCCTAAATGAGCAACCCCAGAATTCCAAACCAGAAACCCCAGCAGCCACCCAGCCTGAATCCCTGAAACTATCCACTTCAGATTCCTCGGGAACCGTGGAGCCGACGGCCCCCCAAAACTCTAGCCCTAAAGAGCCCAACACCCCTCCTCCCTCAGTCCGAATTGTAGCCCCCCCTGCTCCTCCAGGGCCCCCCAATCAGCCGGCCCCTGCCACTCCGCGGCCGCCCCAAAGGCGCAGCCGAGGTGAGAGAGTCAACACGATCATCGTGGTGGAGCGAGTGGAGGAGACCGGTGAGGGGCTAGGACCCGCCCTGCCGGGCCCGAGGGCCTAGGGGCTGGGGGCGGGGCTTCCGAGGCGGGGGGGGCCGGTGGCCCCAGCTCTGGGTGGAGGGAGAAGAGGGCGGGGGGCTTAGGTCGCTCACTCTCCCGGCCTCCCTCCTCAGGGGTGACTCTGGTGGGCCGCCCCCGGGGCGTGGCGGGCGGGGCCCTGTGCCTATTCCTCGCGGGGACCGGGCTGCTGATCGGCATTTTCCTGCTGCTGTGGTGTCTCTACCGCCGGGCCACCCGGCATCGGCCCTTCGCACACCACCGGCTTCCGAACGACGGAGATGAACCGGGTGAGCGACCCTGACCCTGACGGTGTCCCTCGTCGCCCGTCTGTCCTGGCACTTTAGGGTGCCCCACCAGAAAGTACCGATCCCCCGTCCAAGAGAAGCTCGGACCTGCCTCCCAGTTCTCTGGAACTTCACTGTCACGACCAGTCCCGCCCCAGCCCAGGGGCAGCTTCAGCTGGCCGGGAGCCAGGGACCCCTCTAAGCCCCGCCCCCGGCCCGCCCCGTATTCCCCGCCCCTTAAGAAGGCCCCGCCCCCGGCCGCGAGGCCACGCCCCTCATCCCCTCGGGCGCCTGCTCGCGAAGACCCGCCGCAAACGGGTGCTGGGAATCCTCGCTCGCCTCCTCCCTGGCCCTCGGCGCGGCACAGGGGCCTGCCCGCGCCAGCCAGGGAGTGATGTCGCTCCCTTGCTCCCACAGTTATGCATCTGGACTCCCCGAAGGATCCCTACGACCTCTACTTTTATGCCCCCGACGCCTGGGTCCCTTCACACATCTCCACCAAGCAGCCACCGCCTACTCCCCCGCTGCCGCCCAAGCTGCCCCCGCCGCCCCGCGGGGGCCGCCCGCAACGCCTGGAGCCGCTCTCCCCAGCCACACTCCCCAACAATTTCGTGTGAACCCAGCTCGGGTCCCGCCAGATCTGCGCCAACTCCAGTCGGAGGAAGGAGCCAGAGGTCCGGCCCTCCAGGCCTGCTTTGCTACCTAGTGGTCCTCTCGGATGGGGGGGCCAACACAGAGAAGTGCTTTCGCTGCGACCGGAAAACACGGCTGAAGCCGAATAAAGTGCATTTCCCCATGGTTCCTCGCCGCCTCTGACCACTTGGGGCCTGGGGGTCGGATACTGGTGGGGGGGAAGGAGGTGGAGGAGGCGGGACTTCAGGATCTGAGGGGGCAGGGGGAGACGGCCCCTGGGGGAGGGGCTGGTGGCCGGGATGCCTGGGCCTGAGGGAGGAGCAGGGCCTGGACTCCCAGCAGACCGTGTGTACACCAAAGCATTTTATTGGGAGTGGGGCAGGGCAGTTACAATCACAGAGACAGAGACACACAGACACAAACCTGCCCCGGAAAAGAACACCCTTCCCCCATTCCCACTCCGGGATTCTGTCACTTCTACACATGTCCCCCAAATTCTAAGCTGAGAAGGGGCATCTGAGAGGGGAAGATCCCAGATTATGAGTCATTTAGCCCCTGAGGGACACAACAAATGGCCACTGAGAAAATGAGGGTCGTTTGCAACCACCCTGGAGAATAAAGTGCAAGGAATCAGGGGAGGAGGGTGCGTGAAACCACCGTGGGCTGGTCAGTGGCGGTGGCTCACACCTTTGAGTTGACAGAGCTGAACAGCCACTGTTTAGACCTGAAAACCGTGTCAGAAAAAGTGCATGGGGGTGATAAGAAGCATTTTGTTAAAACCGCCATTTTGGTTGCTCCATTTTGGTTGCTCCCCGAGCTAGGGAGGTCTTGGGGAATTTGGTGCGACAGCAGACTGCTAGTGGGGGGAGGGGGCAGATGAAGGGGGGACTTGAAACCATTTTCCCTCAGAAACGCTGGTGAGAATCAAACCCTTGAACAGCAGGGATGGGTGGTTGGTTAAACCAACCTGGAAAATGCAGAGTTGAAAGAGATTTGAAACTTCTAGAGGAAGATCTTGAATTTTCCTGAAGGGAGAAGGGGGTTGAGCAATCACAGGGGTGAGCCTGAGAGTCCTGGGGTTCAAGGAAAAGGGGGCGGGCGCCCAAAACCACAAGAGTAAGAGATTCAACTGTCTGTCCAGATAAAGCCCTGAAAGGAGAGATCTGAAACCACTGAGGAAGAACAAGTAGAGCAGGAACCTGCGGGGGGCTGGGTGTCCTGGAAACTGCCATTCCACAGCTTCGTTACCCCTGAGAGGCAATGGGGAGGGGAGAGGACTGGACGCGGGGAACAAGGGACAGTGCGTCTTAGGCGAGGCTGGACAGAGAGGAGGGGCTCCCTTGACACCGTCATTCAGGCCAGAGGCTGTGGCGCCGAGGTCCTGGAAACTGCCATTCAGTGGCAGGCACAGGGTCAGTAGTCCCGGACAGGGGGTGGGGGCCTTGGGGGCTGAACTGTGCTGTGTGTAGCCCCGTAGGAGGGAGGAGGAGCAGGAGGTGCTCCGGGGGGCTCAGCCTCATCCTCCATTTCACTATCGTCGCTGCCAGCCAGCTGGTCGTGGCCTACGAAGCCACATTTCTCTTCACTCATCTCCTCAGGCTCTGCCCACGGCTGCTTCTCTCCGGAAGCGAAGACCCCGTAGAAGATGACACCCCCATAGTGCACCAGGGAGGCGATTAGGAACACATACTGCCACTCCTCCCGAGTCTGCAGGGGGACAAAAGGGACCCTGGTCAAAGAGCCCACTGGCATGGTGTGGGGAGAACCTGCAAAGAGGGGTGACCAGAGAAAGGGAACAGCTGGCAGGAGAAGGCTGAAAGGGACCCAGAAGCAGGGCAGTGGGGCTCGGGAAGGGCAGCACAGGGCAGAAGGGGACCCACACGAAGGCGGAGGGCCAGTGGGTCAGGGCGCCACACAGACCTTGTGCTTAGTCATGGCGCCCACAATGATGGGGCACACCATGCCCGACAAGGTGCCCACACCGTTGGAGATGCCCATGAGGATGCTGGCATAGCGCGGGGCAATGTCCAGGTGGTTCACGTTGAAGCCTGGAGGGCAAAGGAGGCCGTGTCACTGGCCTCCCGCAAGTGAGGGCCGCCGAGCCACTCCTCCCACCCCAACCTCACCCAGACCATCTTTCTTCCTGAGTGCGTGTTTTTGCGAGTCCTGGGAGGCCCCTTTCCCGAGCCGCAAAGTTCCCCAGAGAGCTGACCAGGGACCCCCAAGCTGCAGACCCGCGAATCTCACCAGAGATGGCGAAGCCACTGAAGCCCACCGCGAGGACCAGGAAGGAGATGGCCACGCCCTTGGAATGCGAGTAGCCGACCACCAGCAGCAGCGTGGCCTCCATGCCAAAACCTACAGGGCCGCGTCATCTGAGCTCCGCTGGCCCCCAGCCCCAGCCCGACTCCCGCCCCTGACCGCCCCCAGCCGGCCCGGCCGCCTCCACTTCCGCCCGCGCTTCCCAAACGCGCCGCCCAGTGGGCGCTCCTGGGCCCCACCCCCTTCCTGGGCCGCACCCCGAGGCTGCGGGGTCCAAGTCCCGCCTGGGATCCACTCCTTAGGCAGCCTTCATCTCCAGGCTCCCCAACCCCGCCGCCAGGATGTTCACCCCGCGCAGCCCTGTGCAGGCCCCGCCCCCAGCTGGACCGCCCTCGACCACGCCCACCGCCACGCCCACTCCGGGAGCCGCGCGCGGCTGCGCCCCAGCTGCGCCGCACTCACCCCCACAGTTCATCAACTTGCGCACGTTGGTGGTGGACATGATGCGGCGGCTTCTCAGGAAGTCCGCGATCTGGCCGCCAATGGGCACGATGATGGTCATGACCAAGTGCGGCAACGCCGACACCAGGCCCACCTGCGCCCGCGGGAGAAGAGGAGGCTGTTCCCCGGCCGGCCGCCAGGCGTCGCAGCCCGCCGAGACGCCCACCCCTCAGTCCCAAGCCCTCCGGGCTCAGAACCCCGGCTTTCCGCTTCGCCCCAGCGTGGCCCTGTCCTGTCCTCCCCTCCCGACCTTGCTGATCTCGAAGCCGAACACTTCTTCGAAGTAAGCAGGCTGGGAGATGAGGAGCAGGTAGAACGTCCAGCTACGGCAGAAGTTGGCCACGATGATGGCGTAGACAGGCATGGACGTGAAGAAGCGCCGCCAAGGGGTGTTAAATTTCTGTGGGGGCGGCAGGAGAGGCCGCTAAAGCAGAGACCGGGATTTCCCGACCTCACAAAAATCTTCTGGGGCAAAGGGGCGCCAGCATCACTTTGACCCTGGTGACACTTCAGGGATGCAGGGACCCCTCAGGTTCCCAGGTCTCCGGACCCCACGATGACCCTCGGGGACCCATTAATATGGCCCCAGGATTCTCTTTTCATAAAATTGACGACCCCTAATTCTACTCTCATCCACCCCTAAAGTCTAAGCGAAACCCCGCATTCTGGTCAAGCCTCTGAACCACGCCCCATCACTGGTCCTAGTTCCGCCAAGTGGGCGACCCCACCCGCCCTCAGCGCCCACTAACCGGGTGCTCCCGGGGGTCCTAACCCCGCCCTCTGTGTGCCCGTCTCTTCTCACAGAGCCTACAGGAACCCACCCAGAGCTACAGCTGCGCGGCCTAACGCCCCCTTCCTCCCGTCTCACGAACTGCGCATCTCTCTGCTCCCCACCGCGCCCCACCCCGCGGAGGCTTGAGCCCGAACCGTGACGGGGTTCATGAGTTTGGCGCTCTCGCCGATGGCGTCCTCGATGTACTTGCGCTCCTCCTCCGAAATGCTGGGGTGCAGCGCTGGAGACTCATAGGAGACCAGCAGCCAGAACAGGTACCAGAAGATCCCGAAACTGCCTGGGGGGTTCAGGAGGAGGATAGAAGTGAGGTGACCGCCGGCCTCGCTCGTCCCAGCGCCACCCGGACCGGGGTGCCTGAGTCCCTCACCATAGACGTAGAACACGGAGCTCCATCCCGAGTACTGCACCAGGACCCCGGCAAGAGGCATCGCGACCACCGCCCCAGCGTAGGAACCTAGGGGGACGATGTGGGGCGGAGAAAAGCCCCCCCCCCGTTCCTCAGAAACCAGCCCGTTACCTGCAGCCCCTCCTACTTCAGACGCGGGACTCCAGGCCCCCAGTACCCCCGACCCTCGGATCCGCAAGTCTGGACACCCGACCCCCTCCTCTCACCGCAAAAGGCTGTTGTCGCCAGGCGACTCCGCTCTAAGGGCGGGGCCCATTTGCTCCAGATTCCGTGGCAGGCGGGGTACGTGACCCCCTAAGGCGGAGAAAACCCAGGTCAAGGAGAAGAGGAGGGGGTCGGACGGGGGCGGGGTCCTACGGGGCCGGAATTTACCTCCACCAACCCCTGCAGGATCCTCACGAAGATGACACAGCCATAGTGGACGCGGGCCGCCGAGGGGATCAGCATGTTTAGTGTGGATGTAGCCACGATGGCAAAACCGAACACCCTGAGGGAAGAGTGCGCCGTCCACAAAAGGGTCCAGCTAGCCTGCCCAGCCGGCAAGCTGCCCTTCCGGCCCAGGGAGGCCAGATTCTGCGTCCCCGAGAGCCCCGTCCCCGAGAGCCCCGACCGCCGCCTGCTATGTGACGCCTACCTTCCACAACCACAACCCCTGCCTTTGTTTAAGACCCGGTCCCCAATGATGGTCCTCCAGTTTTCCGGGAGTGTATGTACCCCCAAACGCAAAGCCACACCCTCCAACCCCACCCGCACAATAGCAGTTCCTTGATCATCTCGAGACCCCACCCCGTACCTGTTGGCTGCGAATTTTTGACAGATAAATCCTCCGGGAATCTGGGTGACAATGTAGCCCCAGAAAAAGGAGCCGTGAATAAGGCCGACAGTCTCGGGATCCCAGTTGAACTGAGCTTTCTGTGGGCCAAAAGGCAGATCAAACTCGCCGCGCGGCTCCAGGCTCCGCCTCTCCACCAATCAGCGCCCACAGACGGCCCCTGGACCAATGAGCAGCAAGGATCCCTTCTCGCCCACCCCACACCCGGCTCCTCCACGTTACTAGGGCCGCAATACCTTAGCAACAGAGCTAGTTGCTGCGGGACCTCTCACTTTACCTGCTTTCCTGCCTCAGTGCCCCAGTGAATATGTAGGGGCCCCTATAAAAACAGCGAGGATTCTTTCTCCATTGCGAACTGTTTGCGGAATAATATGG